TTGAACATCGAGTGGAATCTGAAGCCGTCGGGCAGCGGCACCGTAGAAATCCAGTCCAGCACGATGGAGGAGACTTGGACGGACATGGACGTGATTCTGCCGAAGAGTCACTATCAAAATATCATCTTCAAGAAGCATCACGGCGTTCTCACGATATTCGCGACTGTGACCGGCTACCAGAAGCTTGTTCTAAATAGACTGAAACTCACGCCGGAGTGGCCACCGTTTCCCGTCGAGAATGAAAGAGGTGGAGTGGAGACGCCGCTGATAGAAGCCTCCATAGAGGCAACTCTGGTGAACGACACCGTCATCAGCCCCAGTAAATTGATAATTCTGAACGATTCGAGCATGAAGTCGTACTTGCAGGTCAGCCAAGGCTCCGGTTACTACGAGTTCATTCTCAGTTCGAAAGATATAGCGGATATTCGATACATGGACACGACGAGGACGATCAGCGTGACGCCGAAGAAGCCGGGTGAGCTTCATATAGCACTGATGGATCTCTGCCTACCCTCGAAGTTAGCGGAGGTGCACGTGGAGGTTCAACAACTCGCGGCGATCGAGGTGGACACCGTAGATAAGATTGAAAAGGGGAAATGCGTGACAGCCGCGTTGAGACTCTACGACACGAACGATCATGTTGTGAAACTGCCGTCTCTTGGCGCGCTAGAATTCCACGCTGAGATCGACAACGAGCATATCGAGATCAAGCAGTTGCCCGCAACCGAACAAGACATCGCGCCCTACGAGCGAATCCTGTACAAAATTCACGGCTTGTCTGAGGGCGAAAGTCAGCTGACGTTCGTGAAGACAGGTGACCGTGAGATACGCAGCGAGCCGGTCACCGTGCAGGTGTTCGTCCCGCTGCGGGTGCAGCCGAGGAATCTGACGATACTGATCGGCACCATTTATCAGATGCAGACCGTCGGCGGCCCGCCTAACGCCGAGATCGAATTCACAACGGAGAGCGGCGATATCCTGCGCGTCGATCGCAACGGGATTCTCGAGGGGAAGTCGGCGGGCTGGACCGGGATTCACGTGCGCGCCGTTGGTCTCGACGCCAAAGGCAACAAGGTGGTCTACTCGGAGGATCGCGCCGATATATACGTGCTGCATCTCGAGGGAGTGAAGATCTCGACCCCGGTGAACAGGGTGAGAGCAGGCGCGACGTTTCCCCTCTGGGCATTCGGTATCCCCGATTATCTGACGCCCCTCATCATCGGCTCCATGCAGTTGCAGCTGAGTTTCGCGTGGTCGTCGAGCGATCCTGGTCTGTTGACTTTACACAACATGTACGAGGGCACCGGCATCAACATCAGATACCAGAATCAGGTGTCGCTGAGAGCCAGGGCTGTGAGCCCAGGTGTGGCGACGATCTACTTGAACGCCACCGTGCCCTGCAACATGCTGTCCAGTTACAGCAAGAACGACATCATATATACCACGTTCGTGAAGATCGAGATCTTCGAGGAGCTGCGCCTGACCGAGCCGCCATCGTCGGCAAACTCGATATCGACGCTACTGATGTCACCGAATTCCGTTCTACGGCTGCAAACCAATCGCGACCGGCACGGCACGACGACCTACAGGATCTTATCGGGCACGCACGGCGACGAATTCGAGGACCCGCGCGCCTTGACGCCCGCCGCGAAGGCCGTGACCGTGGAGAAGAACGGAATCGTGCGATCCGGTGAGAATTACGGTCAGACGATTATCTCCGTTACGAATACGGAAGCGTACAACTTGAGGCAATCGTTGACGGTGGTCGTCGAGGTCAAGCCTATTCATTACATGATGCTCTCCCTGAAATCCAAACTGCGCATACGGAACGGCGAGGAGCTGAACATGTTACCGAAGGGAATGGAGCTGGATTACATCGTTGAATATTACGACAATGTAGGAAACAAATTCCACGCTGCCGAGACGAACGTTAAGGCCATGCTGAATCGCGCCGATCTAGCGTCGTTCACCGCGGGCGCGGGTAACGTCATTACCGCCAGGTTTCTGGAAAATGGCGAGCTGGTCATCAAGACCTTCAACGAGAAACATCCCAATGGAATGTTCGACTACGTTCACATGATGATCGGCGATATCATATTTCCCACGAAGACCACCCTGACGATTGGCGATATAATATGCTTCTCCATGCCGCTTCTCTCGTCCGACGGTGATCCGGGATACTGGCAGTCCTCCGCGCCCGAGATATTGTCGGTGGATCCCCTCACGGGTATAGGTCGCGCCCGAAACGTCGGCCACGCCGTTATAAAACACAGCCTCGCGACGCACGTGCAGAGTGAGATAGAAGTCAACGTTTTACCAGTCGCACGGGTAATTAATCACTTAACAAAGAAATATAACATATCATAATGTGGCGCGGTATACGTCGTAATAAAGTGATTTTTTTTCGCACAGGTATCCATCGTTCCTTTGAGAGGAAGAAACATCACCGGCACGGAAATCTTCAGCGTTCCGCTCGTGCTGAAGAGTAAGGACGAGGAGATCAAGGAGAATAACGTGTTGGCTAGAGGCTTAGGCGGTTGTCGGACGTTATCGTCATTTGCATTGAACACGTTTCCCTACGCGTGTAACATCCAGTTCGTCTCGTCGAGTTCGTCGATTGGCGTGAAGGACTTGTTCGTCGTGAAGCCGCGATTCGATATCGTGACAGGTTGGTGCAGTCTTATTATCGCGCACGATGAAAGATAAAGATACGTTTGTTGCAACGATTTTTTCATTTGTTTATCACAGGCTTTTATTATTGCGACATCATACCAATGAGTTCTCCGACTATAGCCGCCAGTGTGTTGGAAAGCCGTATTCAAATTAGCGTCCAGAGCCGTGACATCGAGTCAGCAGCTCTGGAACTCGCTTATTTGCCACCTGTGTACGTCGACGCCAAGGAGATCACGTTTGTCACCACTCAAAGTGTTGGTGGTGTGCTGTCGACATCGTTTGAGGTGTATGGATTGTCGTCGGTGTTACAGTATCTCAATGTGAGTCGTTTGTTTAAGAATCTAAAAAAAAAAATTTTTTTTTAAATCTGATCTGAAAATTTTAGACTTACGCATAAGAAATAACGCAATAAAAATTATTTATTAGGTCTTTTAACTTTATTGAATTATTTATTTTTTATTGGAATTGTGTGATGCTAATAGTTAATTTATGATATTTGCTAAACATTAATATTCTTTTTGTATATCTCTTTTTAAATTTTATGAAATATAATACTATTTACATTTTTTTCTATCAGATCGCTGTACCGGATGGTGTGGCCGTCACTTGGCAATACGTCTCCAAATCTACAATACAGTACAGATTGCGTTTAATGCATAATCAGGACGAAATTCAGGGACAAAAAATGTTCATTTCTAACGATTTGACCAAGCAAAACATATCTGTAAGTAAGCTGTATGGGGGTTTTAAACGCATTTACTTGCCGGACGTTATAGCGATAGTCATTAAATGATATCACGCGTTTCTTTCCAGCTTCACATACGCGTGGCAAGATACAGTCAATTCATCCCTATGTCCGGAGTACAATGGGTGAATTACATGTATTTCCACAGATACACGCTGGGAACATTCGCTGTTATTGTGATCACCATCTTTTATGGTAAGACGAAAGTCAAATTTTTTTAATAAAATAAGTTTACGTTATTTTCAGTATTACTAACGAAAGTTGTGGATTTTTCAGTCTGGAAACACAAAGTGGCAGCTGTTGATTTAACAGTCAGGAATAGAGGTATTTTTGGTACGTACCATTCTTTTTTGTTTCCCCCGTTTTGATATTTTATTCATTGACATTAATTTTATGATGTTTGTCGTACGACGTTTTTCTCAATATAGCATTTGTGATATTAATGATGGTTTTTTTTTACAGCTGACAAATCTCCGCCGATGATAAGGAAAACGATCTGTACTCCGTGTACAACTACTCCGACTACTCCCACGACTCCCAGCCCGCGAACTCCGCCATTAAGGCCGTTCTCGGCGTTCGAATCGTCTGTTTACGGTGACCCGCGTAGTTTCGGCACACCGTATATCAGGAGGAGAGATATATGTTAGAAAAAGATATGTTAGGAGAGTTAAAATCGAGTACAGAGCAGCTCGGAATTGTTGACAAAGATTCGTTAGAAAATAACGTCCGTTCCCCTATCCACAATAAGAAACATTATTTAAATTTAAGATGCTCAGTTTCATGAGAAAAATTTAGTTTTGTCGACGTAAAGCGACTAATACGGATAACGACTGATGCTTTCATTAAAAATGATTCATTATAAATTAGTATAATAATAATTACAGAATTGTGCCTTAAAGGGGTCAAAATTATCATCCGTTCTTTTTATGTATGGAAACAGGTCCATTTCTTGGGGAAAAAAAAACAAGCTCAGTTTTTGTGAAACGTTTGTATTTTCGCTTGACGTGACACACATATATGACATTATTGTACATATTTATATGACTTTGGGACAATTGTGTGTGCGTGTGCGTGTAAAGAATGATTATAACAGTCTGTTAACATTGCCATGATCCATGATTCTTCGTGTATCATCTTCATTTTAATAACGATATAGTTCCTAGTCATAAAACTATATATTTTTGTTTACATAAATAAAACGGCAGCCAACTTATTGTTCGATATACACGATATATTATCGTATATTATCACAGAAAGGAAACCTTATTTTTTTATATTTTGTGAAGCTGTGATATATACACGTTTGTAGGACATATGTATAGCGTAGCAATTTTTCAAGTTGTATTCTAAGTTAAGTATAGGAGTGCTTAGAAGAATAAGAATATCTAGAGTTACTCGCTTATCAAATAAAGATCCGGTATAAAGTCCGAACATAATATAATGATTTTTGAGAAGAAAAGATATTTCACCGTAAAACAAAAAGTCCCAATATAATTGGGTAAACAAACCATTTCCATTCTTTGGACGATGGAAATTCAGATAGCAAGAAGTTGAATTCTTAAATAAATAAAGTGCAACATGATGTTCATAAATAGTGTCACGTTTATTACAAAAGTAGATGTAAGTAGTAGAACAGTCGTGTTTCTTACAATGATATAGGAAAATTTATAAAGTGACCTAGAAATTCCTGGAAACGACTCTAACATACAATCAGTGTTTTTTTGTGTTCTTCAGCAATTTCTCGTATTTACTTTTACTCGAGTACCACAAGGCGAATGGAATGAGCAGGGAAGGTAGAGTCATCACGGCGAACGCGGCCCAATCGATCTATGAAACATAACAAAACAGGATTATAAGGCGATAAAATTTAACTCTATAGTATATACATGGATTTATCTAATTTTAAACTAAGACTTTAGGGAATAATTATTGTAATTTTGTTATAAAGGAAACGATATAGAATAATTATAATCTTACTCGAAAAGGAAAAAATAAGATTAAATATTGTGTTATAAATTAAAAAAATAAAAACAAGTAGTACAGTTATAATATGTACATACTGTAATATACAAGACTACTGTAAAATACATAGTATTTAGTTTCACATTGTAATCCACATAAGCGATTAAGTTTCTTTCTAAAGTTTGTATAATTATAAGGCTACCTATCTCGGCGATGTCTTGTAACTCTTTTACAACATCTTAATATACGATCGTTACACAAGTACATATGTTCATACTTACCACGTGAGATGAAAACTGTTTGTCGTAATCCCTGTATGCCACGATGAGCCCCTCGCCAGGCTCGCTACTCACAGCCACCTGTAGCCGGGGAGCATCTTCCTTGCGGCGATAGAGAACCTCGGCCGAAGTGAAGTTGAAATATCCAAACTTACGCGGCCTCACAACCACGGTGTGGCTCACGTTGGTGTACGGTGGCACGCGATCGATCCTAGCGTTTAACTCGCCGCTCACGTGAGTGAAGTGATCCGGATGGAACGAATTGTCTGTGATCTCGACCTCCAATGCTGCCACGTTGCCGGTGTTGTAAATAGTGTACTGCAAATTTTGTTTTCGTTGCATTAGTAATATTTTTTAATAAATGCAGACTGCGCCAAGTAAAAAATAATATTTCGTAGAAAACATTTGTAGAAATAGAGGTCAGTAAAGGAACGCTTCAATGTAATTACTATGTACAGATGTCAAAAACTTGAAATATAGGCGAAATCTTCCTTTCTCGTTACCTTAATAACTATGTCCATATTTTCTACCAGGTATTTATTGAGTATCTGTTTGGACACTAATAATCTAGCAGCCTCTTCCTCCTCCTCTGCGTACACAGCTACGCACAGCGCAGCGAACGCCGCAAGCAAGATGTGCCACTTCATACTGCAAGATAAAAGACTTCATTAGTTACTTTGTCATCAATTTTCGCTGCGAAACACTGTTTACGCGTATGAATTCACCGACGTCAGTCGCGTAGTTCGCACATCGCAATACTTTATGTCAACCTTATGTAAATTTATTTACGCGTCTCGACGATTCTGCCGTTAAGCGCAATTCTGACAGATACGTGTAAAAGTAACCAAGTGAATTGTACGAAATTTCCAGAACATATTTCAGAGATTACTAAACACGAAACACGATCGTCTCGCGCGCTGGAACAGCTGTTAACGTCTCGTTTTCTGGAGCAGAAGTTCGTGAACGCGTGCCAGCAAGCACAAATCGGTCAGTTCCGCGGGAAAAATCGTCGGGTCTCGTTGAAATAGAAAAAAACGTACGTGAAAGTAAAACTCACATTTTTTTCTCCGTGCGGACGTTCGACGGCCGGTGATTACTGTCGTCCCGATGTCTCCAAACGCGCGAAACGTCTCTCGTGTCAGCTGCTCTCAGTGCCGGACGCGGGCGCACCATACGACGGCGTGCGAGCCACCGGGACGGGAGACACTCGCGAGCTCTCGCGAGAGCAGTGCCAACGGCGCCTCGTCCGCTGCCACGTTTCCGACACGGGATGATAGGTCCGCGTACACATCGTTATTTCCGGTACGCGCTGCAAGCGCGCGAAGATGGCGGCGCGACGCGGTGGCGCGCGTCGTTTGCTATTTTATACATTTTAAAACATTCAACAACGCTGGAATATTTTATTACGCATACGGCAAGTTGCCAGCGTCATAAGGAAAATCACAGGTCTGCGCGATTTTGCTCAGACGCGCTTTGCTATCTGGGAAAACGAGTGCCGAATGCCGAAAAATTGAACAAAAAAAATATGCTAGCTATATAACTTTGATAAATCCGGATTGTAAGGAGTTTTCAGTATCGACTGCGAGAAATAAAACGGAATTTTATTGTTGTAACAAAAAAGTAGATGCCGATCATTTGTTGATCATGCGTCTCCTTCGATTCACAAACGATAATAAAATTAATAAAATTATCGCTGCGTAAGTGTAAAAAGTGCAAGTGCGGAAGTATAAAGTGCCGAAGGAGTCGCTACACGTTGACGATCAGCTGATCGTGACAGTCGCCCAATTGTTAACTGTGATGAATGAACACGAGTGATTCCGTCGCTTCGATTTTAGGTTCGAATTTAGAAGAATCTTGGCAAGAGGGAAAGATAAAAAAAAAAAAAAAACGCGGAGCAGCGCATCCCGAAAGGAACGGATGTTTATTTTTAGAGGAGTACCACACCGCGACCTGTGACGACCCTGATATGTTTCACGTGACGCGGGTCAAGGCGCGGTATTGTTAGAGGGTTAATATTTACATCTCTCGAGATGTCGAACTGACGATCCGCGTGATATATTTAAAACTGCAGACTTTTGATCGCCCGATGCGATAAATCTGGTATAAGCGATGGCCGCCAAAGTGTATCAACCCGATCAGGAGCTGGAAACGAAAGTTAAGAAAGGTTAGCCGTTTGTCTTGGCAACTTTCCTAATTCCCTTTCCGTCTCTCCCCTTTCCGCTAAAATTCGCTTTTGACGTCACGAGTCGAGTAAACTCAATAAATCCGCTCTTTTTCCACGTCGCGATCCGCTTTTTAACGAATATAAATAGAGATCGCGATGCGTGTGATGAGGTTAACGTTGATACGTGACGTTGATGCGTGAAAAAATATGAATATTGATCCACGCGATGACAAATCTCGTTGTTGCAGCGACGGAGCGGATATCGGAGAACATGCACATCGTCGCGAACGAGCCGTCGCTCGCGTTTTACAGGCTGCAGGAACACGTGAGGAAGGCGCTGCCGCCGATGGTGGAGAAGCGCGTGGAGGTGCTGGCGCTGCAGCAACAGCTGCTGGGCAGGTGCTACGACGTGGAGTACGCGGTCAGCGCGATCCGTACGATGCACGGCGCCGGGAAGAGCTTCGAGAATACCCTGGAGTTCATCAAGAACGCGATATTCTTCAAGCAGCAGCTCAAGTACGAGGAGCAGAGGCGGCACAAGAAGGACGGCAGCCGGGACTCCGTCTACAAGAGGCTGTCGGCGCACATCCCGACGCTGGACCACCTGCCGGACGAGATATCCGACGTGGTGCGGGAAACGGCGAACCGCGTCGAGTCGATGATGAATCACGCCCGACACTCGGGCGAGACGCAACGATCGGCCGCCACGCACAATTAGAAGGGACGGGGCGGAGGGACGCTCGGTTTTTCTGTGATAACAGCTCGCTCGTCCGCGAGTTTTGTAGATTGCGACGCCGCGTATATAATATTATTGATATAATAAACATGACATAAACATTTATACTTTTGTTCTTTTGTTCGTTACAGGTATCATTATTTATTATTGTAAGGCAGTGTGCGCCTCTAGTCTTACGGCTAAAATTACGTTTTTATCAATTCTTTTTCTTTATGTTACATTTACATTTCGATAAATATACGTTTCAATAGTGGCTCGAGTTCGTATTGCATTTCAAATGACATTACTGACAACTGACGACTCCTTTTAATTGCAAAACGTTTTTGTCATTTTGACGTCAGAACATTTTAAATATAAAATTCAAATATTCATTTGAATCAGATACCATCAAACGCGCATCGGTAATGTCATCTCACTTTTACATTGGGCAAAAGGCACGCAAATCTCGCGAATGATATTGCAAACATTTATGCGGAGTCGAACGATACTTTTATTCTTGACTGGTAGCGCATCTGCGAATGTATAAGCAGAATCGCAGAGTTATTAACATACACTGTTTTCTCGACGAGTTTTGTATGTCTTACCGGTGTATACGCCACAATCGAATTTTCCAGAGTTGTACTGTAAATTTCAGAAATATATCTACATGGATTGTTTACGTATTGCTTATGTTATGTTTAAACGATTCTTTTTTTCATGCAGACAATATAAGTAATGTAAATTATAAATTGAATGATCGATTGATTAATTTCCTTGAACTTGTATTTTTGCAAACAGTCTCACAAAGATAAAAAATAGTTTTAGACTTGTTAGTTATGTTAGATGCATTTCAATTAAAATTTTTTTATTTATTAACTGTACAGTGACAAAAAAGATGCATGATATCAATATAGAAATATTATTTACGTTATTCCTCTATAGCTTTTAAATGACAAAAAGCAGCATATTGTTTAGCTCACAGTTGCATTGCAACACGCACAATATGCATGTTTCTCTTCTTTTTCCATAAGTATAAGATCAAAATTTTTAAAACTATTGTTAATTTTTCTAACATCCTAAAAATTGTACCCAAATCAAATAATAGCATTAAAAATAAAATTGTAAACGAAATACATAAATTTCTGATTTTTGTGATAAAATATAAATTTTCGATGATCCTCCCCATAGATTACTGATTATTTACATATAGACGACACGACATTATATATTCACCTAGATGTAAATTATATTTTAATTACGCGTTCAACCCTGGAATTTTTATTATCGTATGCATACATTAATAATAAATTATTATTATTAGTATAATGTAATATATAATTAAATGAAACTATATTTTCATGGATAACCCGCCGAATGACGTATTTTTCACTTTTCGTCATTATTCAGTCATTTAAGTATGTCATTCAAAATTTTTTACAAAATCTCGAAAAATTTCTCCAGTCACCAACGCGCGATCATTAATTAAGGCGCCGGTTACCACTACCGTAACAACTATGATCAATCGTGTCTGCTCGCGGGACAATTCGCCACGTGTTCGCCGGTCGGAAGTCGGAAGGGCCGATGATGTACCGATCTGACAACGAGTCCGGCAAGGATGCGCGATCAATACATGACGCAACCTGTTCCCGAAATGTCGGGTAGATGTCGTAATAAAAAGGAGTTCGTCGCACCACGAGTGACCACGTCCCACCCCACGTCCACGACTGGATTAGTGGATCATGTGGGATTATGCAGCACGCACGGCGCACGGTTTCGGTGCGGTTGCAACAGTGCGATCGTGGGTGACGGGAGCATGAAGGGCTGACTGAAGGGTCGGCGTACGCATCGGAGGGGACAGTCGAGGGCTGACACGCCGCGGACGGATACCTTTTCGGCGGTGTCGCCGTATCAGCGACACATCTCCGGCGGGGATCGCAACGTGAGTCAGTTTGCCGTTTTCGCCCGTATAGGTTATGTGACTGCAGCGGACGGCGGACGGCGGACGGCGGAGCGTGCGACGCTCCGACGATCGGAGATCGGGGGATATTTGTCGCACGTGCGTGTAATAACGCACGACCGATCGATCGACGAGCAAATTTTTCGAATTCTGATACAATCTCGGGTATTCGAGTGATAACGCTCGCATATCACCCTTCCACCCCCCTTTCGTAGAAATTTAAGCTCGTTTGGCAACGGGATCGAACGATGGATTTTCGCGTTTCGTAACGGATTAGATATCATCACTCATCACTGCTGCCGTTAGCGTAAAATTTTTGGGGGGGAAAACTTTGGAAACTAAAAAAACAAATAAATAAAAAATAAAAGGAATGCAATTTAAAGTTTGACTTGTTAGGTTAATGTTACTTCACTCGAAATTATCATATATTTACGTTTACGTATATATTGCGGGAAACGAGTTTCTCTCGTTCCCGAAACTTTCTTATGTACACTCTACCGGCAGGAATGCCTGGACATAATACATATACATATACATGTACATGTATGTCATATACATATCAAAATGTCCAGGCATTCCTGCCGGTCAGTATACGTTCGTAAACATATCTTTTAAATTAATAACAAAGAAGTCAACGAAATGGGCAAAGCTAAGTGAGAAGGACAACGGCCTTCGAGCATAATAATATGTTGGTTTAAAAGAAAATCAAGTTGATTTAAAGAAAATAATGAAAATATGATATATTGTTAGTCTTCATCCTCAACTGTAATAATTTGATATAAAATAGAATAAGTGAGTCAAGATTAAAATTATAAAAAGGAAGAAAACGTGTCCTTTGAATTTGGAGCATTTTTAAGTAATACTTGCACACGCGCGTGTACATATTATAGTATATTCTCGTTTTTACAAGCAATTCTTATTTGTTGTTCTTATCAATGTTTATTTGAATAATGGTTGCGTTAGTATATTATATGCCCCCCTTATCTCTCTCTCTTTCTCTCCTTCTCTCTCAAACAATTTGCAGCAACAATTTATATATCTTTGCTGTAAGTCCGGGTCTACTTTTTTCCAACTGAACTTTTTGTACGGTTCATCTTTTCTTTTTTTCTCTTCAATGTGAAACACGCATATTGTTGCGACTCAAATCGAATCGGAGTCACGCGTCGCGCGATCACACGACGCACTTTAACCCTTAAATGCGCAGTTTTTCATATAGCTGTTGATAGTAATACTTAAAGAACTGGAATTCCCAGTTGGAGACGCGACAATAAGTTGAGGCTTATCTCAAACTTTTTTTTTTTAAAAGTTTTACATGTATGCAAAGCGACTTTTCGATGCTCCGCGTACTTTCCCTCATGAAGTTCGAAATAAAACGCGCTTTGCAGATCTGTAAACAGCCCTTCTGGTTCTTCTTTCCCTTTTGGATGGAAAGGTCGTTCCAGAAAATAGTCAGAACGCTACGAAAAATTGCGCATTTAAGAGTTAAATCCCGCTGCGACGACCGATTCCGAGTCGGCTCGCTTACTGGGCGCACCGACATTTAGAAATAGAGATTTTCGTTGAACGTATCGTCTATTATTACGCGGTTCGCCGACTCGATTGTGCCACGTAGGGTGTACACACGCATAACTTCGTCGTGCATAATTTGGACGGTCACGTACACGCACATACGGACTTCTTTAGAAAGTGTGACAGGAAGCGATAGATTAGGCGAGCAAACTTTCGTCACGCGCGCAAATTAAAAGGCAAAACTGGCAAAATTGCCCGTAAATTGAAAGATTCTATGTTCGCACGGAGGTGATAACGCCGAATATGCGGATCTCGCGGGACGCGCGAGTACATGGATAAAGAATTCCAGAGATTCCCCTCAAGCATTATATATGTATTAATGCACAGGTCCATTTTCGAATTAAATGATTAATCGCGCGCAGAAGACCGGTGGAAAAAGAACAGCAAAGTTAAACAAAATATGTAACGACGAATATACGAAGAATTGCGCTTTAAAAGTGTATTAATGCGTTGAACGAATGGTAACAATCGAAATTTTTACGAGGATAGTCAAATAATGATTACGACCTTAAGCTGAAGATTACTTACAGCTAATTTTATGCTAAACGCTTCCTAGTTGCGATATATCTTAGCCAACGAGAGTGTTTGAGTTAATATTTGGTTAATTAATCGTTTCCTAGTTGCGATAAGTTCCTGTGCGTCGTACTTGCGTCAATATTTGTAACGGCCACAGAGCAGATTAATATGAATCACGCTGATGTTAATATCGAGACTTATCGGACGTGGGTTCTCGTAGATTTGGCTGTGCACTCTCGACTCGGGGGAATCCCGGATGTTTTTTTTTCTCCGTCAGCACGCGCCATGAGTATGCCGCGTGCGTTCTACGGCGAGAGAAACCGCGCCGCGCGCGCACGCAGGAACGCGGGTGCGTTAACGTCATACACGCGCCCGCTCCTCCGTGTACGTGGGACTGACTTTAAATTGCGACAAATCTATTCCAACATTTACTGTCGCAGGCATTGTCGTGCCCCGACGAATCTGTCTGCAGCGCTAACGTACACGTTGCGCATATACACATAAAAAAAAGAAGTGTCAAGTGAAGACTTATACACGGAGATAATTTTTTTGTCATATTTTACCGTTAAATTAGGCAAAAAAGGTCGAGATAAGAAGCTATTATAAGAAATTCTTAGAAGAAGATTATAGATTGTTATTGCACATATATTTGACACTTCTTTTTCTTTCTGTGCACCGACACATGTACTTACGTTGACGCATTCTCTTTCGCTTTCCTTTCTTTTCCTTTTTGGTCGATCGGTAGTTCGTCAGTAACGATAAGCCAATCCGGCTTTTAATGTCCACCAGATACCGCGAGGTCGAAATGAATTCTTCTTTCGTCTCCTCCCCCCGCTCGTAGACAACGGATGAGATAAAAAAAAACAAATCTTTGAGTTCATCTGGCGCTCCGTAGCTTCAAGTGCGTAAGCCAAGTGCGTAAGCTTTTAGCGATCAACAATGACTTTTGCTCTCTAAATCGGAATCAGTGAAAAGTCACTGAAATGGCATAGGACTTTAGACTGATATCAGTAAATAGTCACTGATGCATTCAATGACTATTCACTGATATCAGAGTAAAGTATGTCATTTCAGTAACTTTTCACTGGTTCAGATTTAGAGAATTCGAATGTACCGAAAAGGCGGATCATATGCAGAGCGATACCGATGATAATGTTTGATTTTACGGCGTATTTTAGGAACAGCGAAACCGCGTGACGTAATCACATTCACGTGGCGTTTTAACGTTTAGCATCTGAAAGCCGCGGGATCTCGGTGGAAGGTTTCGCCTTTTTCCCTGAAAATAATCGCGATCTGTGCAGCGTGCAGCTAAGATTGTCGTCAATATTGCGGT